CTGTCAGTATGAAACAACAGGGCGATGACCGGCTGTTCACAGTCCCACCCTCTCTGTCCTCCACTTCGCTTCACCCATCAGTCAGGCATCCCCCCACAAACCAGGACTTTTGGTTTGGCCCAAGTTTGAACAAGCTCACAGGTGAACACTGGGCCCCTTAACACTTCACACTGAGAAGCTGCTGACGACAGAGAAAACCATTCCTGTTGCAGCAACCTGACTTTGTGCCTGTTCCCCCACCCTCGACCCCTCCACACCCACAAAGCTCCCACTGGTCCTGCTCCAGCCTCCACACCCCAGAGAAAAGCCTATTCTGTGTGGTTTTAGGTGCTTTCAGGTGTCTGAGATGAGAGCATTCTCCCCATTGCAACAGTCTTTCGATTAAAGTTCCTCCATATCTAAGTCTAGATATGTTTTTATTTGACAGTAGAGTCCCGTAGCGGAGATGCTAGAAACTCTCCTTAGAGCACCCCTTAGATGTGACGCTTTGCACACGGCGCCGGCCTGGCTCCCCGGCGCCCAGGCAGCAGGCCCCGTGGGGGCTGCAGGGGCCTCTGCGGCGGGCGAGGCAGGAGGCTGGGGGTGGGGGTGGGCCGCGCCTGAGCAAGGACAGGTCTGTCAGAACCGCCGCGCTGCCCGCCCTGTCTCCCGCCCCTTTCCTGCTGCCAGTTCACAAAGGAGCCGGCACCCTCCCCGGGCCAGCTCCACCCACTGCCCCAGTGCTGCCCCAGGCTCCCGCCTGCCCTTCCCACCCATCCCCCGCTGAGCGCAGTGGCCAGGGGCCAGTGTGGGTGTCAGGGGCATAAAGCTGCGCTGCTGGGAGGGCGGGGTGGGTTTGTGCCAGGAGACACTCCCAAGGCAGCCACGGGTGGGATCCAACTGGGTGTGGGTCCTGCGAGGACCCCTCCGTCAGCTGGGATGCTGGGACATCAGCCCTGCCTGGGGTGCCAGCCTCCCAGCCCCCCCGGGAGAGCTGCTGTGCCCACCCTCGTCCTCGGGGCCCCTCCCAGCTCTTCAGTCTGTCAGCATCCTATGGCCGATGCTCTGCCGATTCCCAGGCCCCTCAGCAGCCTCTGCTGGAGGAACAGGGGTGCACAGCTCTCTGGTCTGTCTGGGGGGGACTCCTTAACCGGCTGGCCACAATGGCTGCTGCTCCAAGGACACCAGGGGAGAAGAGGGCCGTCCTGACTGAATTTAGGAGGCTAGGCCATCATGTGTTCTTTCAATTTCCAGTTCTGGGAGGTCATCAGCGATGAGCATGGGATCGACCCCACTGGCAGTTACCATGGAGACAGCGACTTGCAGCTGGAGAGGATCAACGTGTACTACAACGAAGCTGCTGGTGATTACGGAATGATTCTTGCTTCTCTGGGAACCCTGCTTCCCACACTGCGGCAGATGCACTGTACTAGGGACATACAGATGACAGAGAAATGCTTCTTGCATTCATGTTAAATGTCAACTGCTAAAAAATACACGGCAGTCCCCAAGGCCCCCTGCGTGTTTGCCGTGACTAGACACGCTCATTACCTCCTTTAGAGTCGAAACACTCCCCTGTTCTGGTACTTTTGCCTCACATGCTGGAATTCTCTGTGATGACTTCCACTGTGAAAGGCGCAGATGGCACCACCTGTCTGACTCCGTTCGGACCACAGGTCTAAGTCCCCCTTTTACTCCCTGCAGGGAACAAGTACGTACCTCGGGCCATCCTGGTGGACCTGGAGCCGGGCACGATGGACTCGGTCAGGTCCGGACCCTTCGGCCAGATCTTCAGGCCTGACAACTTCGTGTTTGGTATGTATTCACAATCAATGGGAACTGGCTCAGTGAGGCTCCTTCTTTCTAAACACTGTGGAAATCAGTGTTTTTAGTGCTGAATGCCAAGGTGGACACTGTCCACAAACATTCCTGAGTGGTGGCCTCATTGCACCTCATCCACAGGCGGTGACTGTTGGGACAGCTCTGAGAGCACAGTCAGCTTGCAGAGGGCTGGGCAGCCCTCGAACCCCAGAGCAGCCTGTGTAGAGTAAGGGATGAAGGGCCATGAGAGGGCTTCTAATAGATTAATAGCCTGCTGGTCATTTCAGAGGACCCGTCGTGGCCACCTCAAGAAGCAAGGGCCAGGCTATGACCAGGAGTGAGGGCTCTGCTTAGAGCCCCTGTTCTCTTCTTACCTCACTGCACCTTTGCCCTTGCCTGGTAATGGGACATAATTTAAGTTGTTTTTTTTTTTAATCCTCACCTGAGCATGAGTTTTTATTGCTTCTAGAGAGACATTGATGTGAGAGGGAAACACCAATTGGTTGCCTCCCATATGCACCCCAACTGGGAATCAAACCTGCTACCTTTTGGTGCACAGGATGACACTCCAACCAACTAAGCCGCTCAGGCAGGGCCTTAATTTAAGGTTTTATAGAATGGTGTCTATTCTTAAATTCTCTCTACTTAAGATAATTTTGTTCAACTGAAAACCCCATTTGAACTGAACTTACTATGATCTCCAGTGTTTTTCGGGGTCACTGATACAGAAGGTTTTCCCGTAGGTAAGAAAAGGTACATAAAAGGGAAGAACCTGAGACTCTGAGACTCAGAATGGCAGGACTCGCAATTCCAGAGTCTAATGGTCTCCTCTCCCCCCGGCAGGCCAGAGCGGGGCCGGGAACAACTGGGCCAAGGGCCACTACACGGAGGGCGCGGAGCTGGTGGACTCGGTCCTGGACGTGGTGCGCAAGGAGTCGGAGAGCTGCGACTGCCTGCAGGGCTTCCAGCTGACGCACTCGCTGGGCGGCGGCACCGGCTCGGGCATGGGCACGCTGCTCATCAGCAAGATCCGCGAGGAGTACCCTNCGCCTTCTGGACGGGGTCACCTGCGCGCGGGCGCCGCCTTCTGGACGGGGTCACCTGCGCGCGGGCGCCGCCTTCTGGACGGGGTCACCTGCGCGCGGGCGCCGCCTTCTGGACGGGGTCACCTGCGCGCGGGCGCCGCCTTCTGGACGGGGTCACCTGCGCGCGGGCGCCGCCTTCTGGACGGGGTCACCTGCGCGCGGGCGCCGCCTTCTGGACGGGGTCACCTGCGCGCGGGCGCCGCCTTCTGGACGGGGTCACCTGCGCGCGGGCGCCGCCTTCTGGACGGGGTCACCTGCGCGCGGGCGCCGCCTTCTGGACGGGGTCACCTGCGCGCGGGCGCCGCCTTCTGGACGGGGTCACCTGCGCGCGGGCGCCGCCTTCTGGACGGGGTCACCTGCGCGCGGGCGCCGCCTTCTGGACGGGGTCACCTGCGCGCGGGCGCCGCCTTCTGGACGGGGTCACCTGCGCGCGGGCGCCGCCTTCTGGACGGGGTCACCTGCGCGCGGGCGCCGCCTTCTGGACGGGGTCACCTGCGCGCGGGCGCCGCCTTCTGGACGGGGTCACCTGCGCGCGGGCGCCGCCTTCTGGACGGGGTCACCTGCGCGCGGGCGCCGCCTTCTGGACGGGGTCACCTGCGCGCGGGCGCCGCCTTCTGGACGGGGTCACCTGCGCGCGGGCGCCGCCTTCTGGACGGGGTCACCTGCGCGCGGGCGCCGCCTTCTGGACGGGGTCACCTGCGCGCGGGCGCCGCCTTCTGGACGGGGTCACCTGCGCGCGGGCGCCGCCTTCTGGACGGGGTCACCTGCGCGCGGGCGCCGCCTTCTGGACGGGGTCACCTGCGCGCGGGCGCCGCCTTCTGGACGGGGTCACCTGCGCGCGGGCGCCGCCTTCTGGACGGGGTCACCTGCGCGCGGGCGCCGCCTTCTGGACGGGGTCACCTGCGCGCGGGCGCCGCCTTCTGGACGGGGTCACCTGCGCGCGGGCGCCGCCTTCTGGACGGGGTCACCTGCGCGCGGGCGCCGCCTTCTGGACGGGGTCACCTGCGCGCGGGCGCCGCCTTCTGGACGGGGTCACCTGCGCGCGGGCGCCGCCTTCTGGACGGGGTCACCTGCGCGCGGGCGCCGCCTTCTGGACGGGGTCACCTGCGCGCGGGCGCCGCCTTCTGGACGGGGTCACCTGCGCGCGGGCGCCGCCTTCTGGACGGGGTCACCTGCGCGCGGGCGCCGCCTTCTGGACGGGGTCACCTGCGCGCGGGCGCCGCCTTCTGGACGGGGTCACCTGCGCGCGGGCGCCGCCTTCTGGACGGGGTCACCTGCGCGCGGGCGCCGCCTTCTGGACGGGGTCACCTGCGCGCGGGCGCCGCCTTCTGGACGGGGTCACCTGCGCGCGGGCGCCGCCTTCTGGACGGGGTCACCTGCGCGCGGGCGCCGCCTTCTGGACGGGGTCACCTGCGCGCGGGCGCCGCCTTCTGGACGGGGTCACCTGCGCGCGGGCGCCGCCTTCTGGACGGGGTCACCTGCGCGCGGGCGCCGCCTTCTGGACGGGGTCACCTGCGCGCGGGCGCCGCCTTCTGGACGGGGTCACCTGCGCGCGGGCGCCGCCTTCTGGACGGGGTCACCTGCGCGCGGGCGCCGCCTTCTGGACGGGGTCACCTGCGCGCGGGCGCCGCCTTCTGGACGGGGTCACCTGCGCGCGGGCGCCGCCTTCTGGACGGGGTCACCTGCGCGCGGGCGCCGCCTTCTGGACGGGGTCACCTGCGCGCGGGCGCCGCCTTCTGGACGGGGTCACCTGCGCGCGGGCGCCGCCTTCTGGAGCAGGGTCACCTGGGTACCCCCCTCCGGATAGGGGTCACCTGCGCACGGGCGCCCCCTCCCGAGTGGCGCGGTGGGCGCGCTCTGTCCTGGCGCATCTCTGGTGCTGTTCCGCCTGTCTCAGAAATTCACTGTTGATGGAATCGTGTGGAACTCCTCTAAAAAGTAAGATACACACTATACTGATTAAAAAGCATGTGTTCAAAATAGTGCGGTTTCTCTGTTTTTATTCTTTCACTAGATACTTCTTGAATATGTTTCTGGGTTTAGTTATTTTAACAAAATAGAATTTGTACTTAATGTTTTAAGTAATAGTTCTTTTAGTAAGGAGATAAAAAGAAATATTTTTTCATTTTTATTGGCCCAAAGTATTCTAGGAATGCAGTAACGATGAGGACCTTGGGCAAGGACTTCCTTCTGTTTGCTTCCTTTGTACAAAGTGATACATACAACAAAAAAGACCAGTGACTGCTTGTACCTGTCAGATAAAAGGTACAGTATGAGTTCAAGGTGCCCAAAATAGCAGTCAGGAGCACCGCCAATGCTCATCTAAGATTTATTTGCAAATGATGTAAATCACAATAGGAACTTATTTTTTAAGACAATGGTAGAAATTCACAACTTAATGCTAAGAAATGAGATTTAATTCTTGTAGCTGTTAGAGCTGGGGGATGTGCTTAGTGTCTCCTTCCCACTGGGTTAGGAGCAGTGGAGGGAGGCGCAGGAGGCTTGGGCGCAGGGGCGTGGAGGTGTGAGTGAGGCAGGTTTCAGAGGCAGCCACAGGCTGAAGCCCACAAGGAGAATCCCAGGTCCCGTGTTCTCGGGGACACTTTCATTGCAAGAAGTCTTCTGCTAACTTGTTGAATTCATTTGCAAAACGTAAGTGGAGGTTGTGTTTGCCTTCTGGCATCAGATGCAGCCTGAAGAGTAAAAGCTTATGATTAATGGCACAGCACCAAAAACCTCACCCTCCCACATTACCTGGAAATCTACAGCGAAAACCTGCCACAGTTTTCTCCTAACTACTGGGGAGAAGACGTAAGGTACACAGTCCACAGTACAGATGCTCCTGACGACTGAGGGAGCCTGGAGTGCCGCTGACCTGGAGGCTGAGCTGACAGTGACAGCACTCGCGCACCAGGAATTGCATCACGAAACAGGCGGTTAACAGACCCTGACTAAGTGGGGCGCAGGATTTGATGGTTACCTAGAGTCCATTTGAATAAGGCTGATTTTAACAAGGTTGGGAAGACGATACGACACAGAGTGTCCGGAATCCACTGGATGAGAACAGGGCAAGACCCAGATCAACTCAGCCACCACCAGAGTGTCGTTCACGGTTCCAAATCACCCTGTCGTCTTGGAGAACTGAACTAAACACAAGCCACTAGAGAGGGTGGGCGTGCTCCTCGGGCTGCGGGCAGTGCGGCCTGCACCAGCAACCTCTTTCTGAGCTGTCACTGCGTCTCCTATGGCTCCTTCATTTCAACAGGGTTGTGGTCAAACGTGGCTGGTTGGCAATTTCTTTAATAATGGCAGCCTTCTCTGAGTTCTACATTTTATTTATTGGCTGTAAAAGTACAGAAGTAAGTTTTAAATGAATGAAAGCTTCTAGGATAGAAGCACAAGTTTGAGATGTTCTGACAGTTGGGACATTAAAAGGACTATATTGGGGCAAAATGCCAGTTACCACATTGCCTGATTCTCTGGCCTTTCCCCACCTGGGGCCAGAGCGCTCAGGATCTCAGTGAGCACTGGGAGAACCTGGGAAAGTGCTGGGGAACAGACCTGTCCTCAGACCTCAACCACATGGGGTGGGCTGGGGTATAGAGATAACCAAGGGCATTTACTTGAAAGGATAGGCTATGCTCTCAGCATCTTCCAGAGGCTCTTAGGGATGTTAAGGCCGTTTATAGTTAACTAGGACATTCCAAACTCAGTTGTAGTGCTGTTCATTAAAGAAGGGCAAGCCTCACCAACCCCAAAGGCAGGATCCCAGTTGCCCTACACAAGAAACAGGGCTTGTAGGGATGCTCAAGGCCTCTGTTTTTAGGAGACAGAAAGGTCCAACTGCTAAGATGCTGACAGGTCAGAGAAGGGCGTGTCTGGGCTAAATTGCACCCTCCAATGTGTGCTAAGCTGGATACGGAAGCGGAGACCCCAATCTGCCCATTTGTAATCCTCTGGATAGTCACGCTGGTTACCATGTGCCTTCCCGTTTCTGGGGCTCACTCAGTCCCCCCTGTTGCCTCTGCGTCTGCATTCCTCCTGTAGTATCTCTAGGTCTCCTTCATTAAAACATGGGGGTTCTGTTCTGAGGCATCTGCCTTCAGAGCGGAGCTGAATTATGGGTGGATGGACAGATGGACGAGGCTACAAAGGAAATTGCTCTTCCCCTTGAGACCTTTGGGGGTAACTTCAAGTTCAAGTTCTTTTGTATGCCCCCCCTTAGGTCTGACACGCAGCGTGTGCTGAGGCCTGTGGCCCGCCCGGGAGCAGCTCCATACCAGGCACAGTAAGTACAGAGCTGTCCCGGCCGCACCTCGGCTGCTGACCTAGGCTCTCCCCAGATGAAAGGCTCCAACCACATGCTCCGCGGGGAGTGTCTCAGTCCCATTCCCCAGGAGAACCAGAAGGAGACCCCCCGGCAAACACGGTGCCGCTGGAAAGGGGGCCTGGACGGCACAGGAGCCCGTTTGCCAGCACAGGTTCCTTGTTGCATTTCACACTTTTAGAAAAAGATGTGATTCTAGATCTGTTGAGAAATTAAAATGTCTAACCTCCTAGTATAAATTCAGGGGTCAGTTTACTTCTGCTTGATTCAGTCCCAGGATCTTACTTTTTGTTGCTGATCCTCACCTGAGGGTTTTGTTTTTTTAAGAGAGAGTGGAAGGGAGAGAGGGAGAGAGAGACAGAGAGAGAGAAACACTGATGTGCGAGAGAGACATCGCCTGGTTGCCTCCTGCATGTGCCCTGACCGGGACCAGGGATTGAACCTGCAACCCAGGTATGTGCCCTTGACCAGGAATCGAACCGACACGCTTTGGTGTCTGGGCCGACGCTCCAGCCACTGAGCCTCAGAGGCCAGGGTGGATCTCACTTTTTTTTTTAATTAATATATTTTTATTAATTTCAGAGAGAGGAAGGGAGAGAGAGAAATATCAATAATGAGAGAAAGTCATTGATCAGCTGCCTCCTGCCCGCAACCCAGGCACATGCCCTGACTGGGAATCAAACCTGGGTCGTCTGTATCCTAGGTTGATGCTCAACAGGTAGCAAAGGAGAAACATTGTTACCATCCCTTCTTCAGTCTCACCTTCCACAGTTTTCAAATTAAGCCCTGAGAGCTACAGATACAAACAAGGCCGTAAGTAATGTGCTGTAGCATTCCTCCTCCACCTTGGATGTGATAAAATTCTAAATGATTTTTGAGCCCCTAGTGTTTCCAGTAAGTCTGAGCATCTTTGTTTAATTGAAAACCAAAGTAGGCTCCTGCCTGCCTGCCTTCAAACTGGGCTATTGGCTTCTCCTGCCTTCAGAGTCAGACTGAAACATCAGCTCTTGCTGGTCCTCTGGCCTTCCGAGTCCAACTGGAACCACACCTCCTCTCTCCCGGGCCCCGCCTTCCTGACTCGGCTCCAGCTTGCTGATGGAAGATCTTGGACGTTGGGGCCTCCACACTGCGTGAGCCAATTCCTTATTCCTTATAGGAAGTAAGCCCGTGTGTGTGCGTGTGTGTGTCCTATCGGTTCTGTTTCTCGGGGATCCCTGACTGACACACCCGCACACGTAGACTAATGATGGTGCTGAACGCAACCTGCTTCTGGCCTGCTCTTGAGCGATGCCCTGGGTCTCTGGGGGCCCCAATCATCTGCACCCCCACAAGCCTTCCATCCATAACAGTGGCAGCTATTGTGTGTTGTACAAATATCCACTCATTCCTCAAAAAATATTTTGAACGATAGATATCACCCCCATTTTGCACACAAGGAAGCAGGCACGAGGTATGCGCACGCTGTTCCGTGTGACTGGGCCAGCACAGGCTCCCGAGCCTGCCCCTGCTCCTCGCCGCCGCTGACGGTGCTCAGGCTCCCAGAGGCCGCCTGCTTTCTAGGCAGCGCTCATGCCCACCTCACCCCTCTGGCCGACGCCGGCCCGGGTGCGACTCTGCGGGCCCTGCGTTTTGGCTCTGAGTCACCAGCTGGCGGCCGCTGGCCACCCACAGAGGCTGGGCCCTGTGTGCCTCTCCTGCTCTCACACCCTCTTTCCTTCCCCATGTCCTAGGCTGCATCCTGGGACACATGTCGACATGCTCAACAGGAGGAAAACTAAATTCACATGCTCATGGCTGTCAAAAGGCATAAGGAGCTGTGCGGGCTCAGACATATGAGTGGTCGGAGGTGGAGGGAAAGGAGGAGGCCTGAAGGATGAGCACACTTGGCCAGGCAGCGAAGGGGGCGAGGGGTAGGGCAGGCCCAGGCAAGGTGCTGCTTGTCTGGACTCAGAGCTGGCCCCCCCTGCTGGCCTCTGACCCCTGGGGTCCAAGCACCTCCGAAACACACTATTATGGACTGAACTACACCCTCCCCAAACCTGTACGTGGAAGCCCTGGCCCCACACCCCAGGCTGCAACCTGATTTGGATATAGGTCTTTAAAGAGGTGCCTAAGTTAAAACGAGGCCATTAGGGCCCACCATAGTATGCCTGGTGTCCGTGAAGAAGACCAGGACACGGACACAGAGGGAAGACCATGTGAGGGCACAGGAAGAAGGTGGCATCTGTGAGCCATGGGGAGAGGCCTCAAGGAGTCAACCTTGCTGACACCTTGATCTCGGACTGCCAGCCTCAGACTACTAGACAATAAGCTTCTATATAAGCCTCCCAGTCTCTGGAACTGGTTGTAGCAGCCCCAGCAGACTAATACACACGATGCGTGGACACAGTCCAACAAGCTGTGGAGTCCTAGCCTCTTCTGACACCTCTAAGCCCACTGCCTCCTGGGGCCCACCCCAACTCCAAAGAGTCTGACAGGTGCCAGCCTCTCCTCAACGCAAATCCTCTAAAAATGAGCTGGGGCCAGCCTCATGGGTGAGCCTGTCTGGGAACAGGAGACGCCCAAGCAGAGGCTGACTAGCTAGACAGGTGGGACGTGGTGTCAGTGCTTTGCCATCTCGGAGGGAGGGCAGGACAAGCAGCGTGCACAGGGGCTGGAGCAGGAAATGGAGATCAAAGGAGCACAGTCTGCTCCCCACCACTGTTGTTTTTTGTTTTATATCTTGGACTTCCGCATAAGTTTGTTAGGAGGAAGGGTTCAACTGCCTAACACAAATTTTATCACTGTGAACCTGAATGATCTCTAACGCCCCTGCTTCCAAGAGATTCTATCAGTGCTCTCCCACAAAGAGAGCAGAATGAGACACATTAACACAAGCCTGCTGAACAACCCCGCCCTTCATTAGCCTCCTTCTGAGCAGAGAGAGGCACTGGTTTCATGTGTGATATTTGTTGGTAAAATCTTTGAGGGGATAGACTGTGTCTTTAAGCTTAGTTATAAATGTACCTGGCAAGGTAATAAAGTACCAAGTTCATTGGAGCTTACTACACTGAGTTGCTATACCCTGTTGTCAAATGGCCTGGTGCATAGAACCACAGTCTGACCTTGGTGCTGTGGCTCCTTTTGTGGGTTCCAAATAAGCCACATCTGCTCTAGGTAAATTCATGTCCAACACAAAGGGCTGTTTCAGCAGAGGAAGGGAGTAGGTGTAAGTTGAAGGCCAGTTTTAGATCATCGCCCCTAATAGCACTTTCCTTTCAAATGATTTGTTCCAAAGAAAGTTGCTCTAAGACAACGATCTTCCATGAAACAGTCTTGAAACTACTAACATTGGAACAGGAAGGGAATATTTTTCCCTCCGTACTGACGTATTCTGTTGTTAGGAGATGGGTTTGGAATAGCACTGCTACATTAAACTTTCATGCAGACTGACCTTTACTGAGCCTGTCTCTCCAAGGGAAGACATGCGTGTTCTACGAGAGCCGGTATACAAAACCTGTCATTTCCGAAGCCAGAAAACAATTAACTAGAGCAGCAAGTGTATAAGCCAGGCATCTCACCAACATATTAAAATAAGGGTATATTTATGAGATATACACAGCTGTGCTGTGGGGGGAAGCACTATATGAGGAGAAAAACCATCTAGGATTTGTCTTCACTTGCCTATGCAACCTTGGACGATCACTTAGCATCTCAGCCTTGATTTTCTTATCTATAAAATGGGGAAAATATTTCTTTTCCATAAGTTAGTTGTAAAGTATAATTAGATTTTGTGTGTAAAATGCCTTTTAAAATATAAAATGCTATATAGACATTATTGTATCTTATTGCAGAATAAGAAGACGTCCCCCACATTTAAAAATTCTGAGAAATGTTTGTTAAAATACAGCTGGAACAGTGTGACTAGGAAGTACGGAACTGCTTCTGAGCTGGCTTCCCTGCTGACCCGCGGGAGCTCCCAGGGCAGCGCTGGCCACAGCAGGTGTCAGAAGTGGGCTCACAGAGGGAAAGGAGAAGGGAGGGAGGGAGA